ATTATATTTTAAAGAATTCAATACATAAAACATGAACGTAAATATTGAAAATGGGTCTTTCTGAATCCATGTGTACTTTAAATATAAATAGATAATGCCTGTAGATATTTAAAATGTATACAGATTCTCAGATACTACAGTTAAAAGCAATCAGTCAATTAACAAAGAAAATAAAAATAGCGACCATTTTGATTAATTTTGACACCCCGATCTATGTGAAATAGAATAGAAATTTATTATTTGATGAAAACACAAAGTTACAAACCTCTGTTAAGTTCCATCACTCCCTTTAGTTCTATTTTCCTGTGTTCCATCTTCATCTTTCGCTTTCATTCTTTCTTAATAATAATAATAATAAACTCTTTATTGCGCACAGTAGAGATGTATACACGGAGTATTTATACAAAATGTGCATATACAAAAGGCGGCCTTATCGCTAAAAGCAATCTCTTACAGACAACCTGGCATAAAGAATGGATAAGTACAGAGAGAAAGATAGATGGCGCAAGTCAGACACAGTAAATGCATAAAAGGAATCAGACAAAATGCAAAAAATTCTAAATATAAAAATAAGATTGCAATACATAAACATACATATATAATATAAATAATAATACATAAACATAAATATACTAAATAGATCAAGATAAATCACACATAGTAAACGTCAAAGCAAATTAGAGAGATAGGTAATGAGATTTTACCTGCCTCTTGAACGAGGCAAGAGATTGCGCTGATCTAATAGAAAGAGGTAAGGAGTTCCAGAGACGGATAGCTTGGATAGTGAAAGAATAGGAATAGAATTTCTTGTGATATATGTGCTGTTAAGTATGTGTATGTTTCTATATACATTTGTATGTATGTATTTATTTGTTTACAGAGAAACCTGGGCTACACTAATGTAAATAGAAATAGTTTAGGATTATAAACTAGACCACTAATAGGTTCTTACAAATAATAACAAAATAGATTAGAGACACTGCACAAAAATGAATGAAAAAAGATTTTTTGTGTATATTTTACAAAGGTGCCTCGCTCAAGGTCACTGTAGTCTATGGACGTCTGTAACAGCAGAGGTGTCACGTGCATAGATTAAATAGAAATTTATTATTTGACGAAAACACAAAGTTACAAACACAAGATACAATGGGCCCCACACTAGGCGAAACTGTATTGTGGGCACCCGACAAAAATTAACAAATCACAATCTGTTATAATAAAAAATACATAGTAGGTGGGTATTAATATAACAAAAGAAATATAAAATTGACATAGTGATCATTGCTGATCAGGCAATCCCGGAAAACAATATAAATACAGCAATTATACCGGAAAGCAATTATAAAACATTAATAATATATGCACTTAAGAGAAGCTAAGTTGAGTAAATGAATGTGGGTATGTTCGTGAGTATGTGGGAATATGTGTTATGTAATCTATGTGAAAGATGTGTACTGTATGTTATTACTTTCCAGACCACAGTTTTTCAATTGCCTCGTAACATAATGATAAAAGATAATTATTGAATTTGTGTTTCATAATATGTGAACTATGACCTATGAGTGGATATACTTTGTAATTTTATAGTATGTACATTGATGCATATGCAAATGCACCAAAACGGCGGGCAATGGAAATTCTGATGGTCGGAATGTTTAGCTTGAACCTCCTGAAATGTAACAAGGAAGAGTGATCAAGTGTTTTGTGATATAAAGTGACTGCTTTTAGAATAAATAACTATCGAACTGTGAGTACTTTTGCCTCAGAATATAAAGAACGTGTGGGATATTGAATTTTTTCCCTAAGCATTACCTTCAGAACAGATCTTTGAGCACGCTCAAGACGGAGCATGTCCGTTTTTGCAGCACCACCTCATGCGGTAATCCCATAAAAAATTATACATTGACAGATGTACATAACCACTTAATAAACCAAAATCTGTCAAACTGTCGTCAGTACAGTAGCCTGAGCTATACCGAAATGGAGGTAACCGAAACAACACTATCCATAGATGAACCAAGTTTCTCCACGAGTTCAGCACGAGATCGGATCTGGATGGCAGGAGAACCTTCTCTCTTGTGTACAAAAATAAATCCATTATTGATCTAACAATATTTGTGACCAGTTTCTTTGGCAGGGCTATGAGGTTCACGAAATAACAGTCGGTTTTCCTTAGTTAATCGTTCATTCAAGTATATTTTTTGTAGTTTGTCTCCAGGAGGCCAATTCTCGTGAACTCGAATGAATCACGAAATCGAGAAAAAGTTCAAATTCGAACATTTCTCGAGCAAAATCAAAAAAATCAAGTTACCTTGTACTAGGTATGCCGATTCCGAGATTTCTCGAGGGAAGGCCGATCGAGATGCTTCGAGTGGTCGTGAGCATTCGAGACGAATAATGTCGATTCGAACCACGAGAAATATCATAATTATTGTTTGTTTTTTTATGCAAACTCAAGTTAGTTGCCGATGATTGTCACTTATAAATGCTTATTATCATTTACAATAAAGTATGAACATTAAAAGGGGCGACGAATTCTTTTAATTTACCCAAGTAGGTTAAATAATATTGCAATGAAGAGAAAATAATTTTTGTTTGTAATGGATAAACTCAAGAAATATTTAATCGATTGTAAAATAAATTCTTTCACATATATAAGCTACATTATCATTAACATTGGCTGTATTTAAAAATATATATATATATATATATATATATATACTTTTTCTTCTACCTTTCTATCCATACTCGAGAATTAATAACATAATTCGAGGAAATGGCTTCGAATATCGAAATTTTACAGTAGAGAAAGGATTCGAATCACAATCACTATTTCGAGATTATCTCAAAAGAAATGAGAATTGGCCTCCAGGTTAGAATATTCTCCATTTTTCTCGACTTTCACTATATTGCTGTTAGTCTTTTCATACCTACGCGGTGATACTTAGGTTGGTTGCCATCATTAACTTTGAAAAATCTATCAAAGTTCATTCATGCGAATAGTTGTTTAAAATCAAACTCAAAGCCTAGCTTCTTGATAATGTTTTTCATATTCTAAATGATTATTTTGATGCAAAAACTTAATAATTTAATAATATTTATTATTATTAATATTTAATATTATTATTGATTAATTTAATAATAATGTAAGCGAAATTATGTCTACTTGCCTTGCATTTATATAATTTTATGTTTGACTTGTAATTTGATTTTGATTATTCTTTATTTTATTTATTGTATTACCAAATGATTCATATATACTTTCAATTATGTAATGTTATTAACATTAAAATTTCAATGTTTTGCTATTTACGTAATTGCTAGCTAATTACCTGTTTTTAAATTGTCACATGACCAATAGAGTATAACTGTTGATACTAATGTCAAGTCCAAAGCAATGTTTACTGCTATATGTACACAGATAGGAATAAAACTCTATTCTATTCTAAGCATATTTGCCACGAATTGATAAAATTTACTGGCTAAAAGCCTACGTGTACTGTTTTCGCGTCCCCCGCACCCCGCATCCCACGCGCCAATACGCGTTTAGAGCTGTTACATCGTACGCGCCCTGCGCCAGCTATAAATACACGCCACCCCCGGCAGTCCGGAATTTGCGCGAGAGTTCTCGTAGTGATCGGTTGTGTGTTTAGCTCTCCGTCGCAGTTTTCGCTTAAGTTAAAGTTTTTTTTGTATTCCTTCTGTATATACCACTATATTGTTTTCGTATTTTAAGCTGCTGCTAGTATACTACTATTACTGCGAATATTTTTTCAACAATGCAAGCTCCCAAGGTAAATGTTCTTTTATTGTTACTGTTGTTTATCAAACAAGATCAAAACTTATAATAATAACATTTCTACAATAAATCAATTATGTTCCAACAGCAGAAACCGAATTCGGGCAGCCGTATAACGGTGCTGGAAAATGTGCCTTTCTACCTTAAGGTGGATTTGAGCAAAAATAGCGGCAAAAAACCAATGACGGTGAATAGAGAAGCGACCCTAGCAGCGCTCGCTACCGTCCTCAAGCCGCGACGCAAATCCCTATTAAAAGAGAAAGAGAAGAAGTCCTCAATGCAGGTCGCATCACTGCCATTTGTCGATGTCGACAAAAAGAGCACCGATGATGATATCAACGATGTCGCCGCCATGGGAGAAGTCAATTTGGCGTATGAAACTCAACAAATGTTGGGATCCACTGAGCACATTTGTTCACAAATTAGGTAAGCACTGATCAGATAAATATGTATATATTTACAGAAAAGCAGATAATTTTCTTCAGTTGTCTAGTAATAGCTATAATAGAAGTTCAGCTAAGTTTGAATGAATAAATGAAAAATCTTTATTGTCTTCTCAAAGGCGGTACAGAGTAATTTCTCCTGTGGTATATATTACTGTATCATATTGAACAGGTCATGTAAAGACGAGTGCTTGGTCCCGATGAGCCTGATGCAAGCGCGTGTGAAGGCGGCGGCGGCGCGACATAGTCTCGCAGAACCGTCCGCGGAAGTGGCGAACCTCGTCAGCCACGCCGTCCATGAACGAATTAAGAACCTCGTCGAGGAGCTGGTCCGCATAGCGCAGCGTCCGACAAACCTCACCTTAAAGGTAAGACGTCATCTTCAACGTTCATTGACTAATAAAGCACGCCCTGGTTTCAATGTTACATGATATGAGTATAAATGATTGTTGCAGACTAACTCGTGTTATGAGGTAACACATGATGTGAAGGGGCAACTCAAATTCATCGAAGAGTTGGATCGCGTGGACAACAAGCGGCGCGAGGACTCGCAGAGGCAGATGTTGCTACGGATGGCCAAGTCCCGTTCCAAGAACGAGAATTCCGAGCGAGCCAAGCTTAAGGCGAAGGTAAATAGAGTTACAACATCTAATTTGAACTAATGTTTTTATTTATTACTGGTTGTTTCCCGCGGCTATGTCTGCGTGCATCAATTTGTAAATTATCCTATGCGCCAAGTTAGAATATAACACTACCTGTGTGTCAAATTTTATGTACATGATTTGATATAAATATTCAATAATGTTATTATATATTTTTAATTCACATATTATCTTGCTGTAGGTTAAAGAAATGCAGCGCGCCGAGTTGGAGGAGATGAAACAACACCAAATGAATCTCGTGGCGCTGCAGGCCATAGGACCGCGAAAAAAGCCTTGTCTAGAAGGTCTCGGTGCTGCTGGTGCCACTGTCTCCAATGGTGGCGGCCACTCGGACGGTGATTTTGTAAGTATTACATCTGGAATAATATAAAAATAATGATCACAAAGTATTGTCTAAAGATTAATGTTTCATAGTCAATGAATCACTCTTCAGCTCATATTTCAGTTTAATATCATTTTAGGGCAATACATACTCTTATCCAGGTTAGATGTACCTCGTAACACCAACATATAAACGCATCTTTAGTGTTGTTTTTACTGTAATACAATGTAAAAAATTACGGTTAAATTAAACTTTGTAATAAATCTGACCAAGTTCTCTTAATTCCTTTAGACTGGTCGCAGTCACCTGGCGTTCAGGACGCGACCAAAGCAAATCAACCATCGCGATATGATGTTCCTTATGGAGCAAAAGCGGGAGACCGCTTACTCGCAGATTCTGTACCGCAACTACCTCAAATGACTTTTCGTATCGCCAACAACCAGAGGGGAGAGCTTAACACCACTGTTACCTACCTATAATATTTTATCAACTGTATTGACAATTCTATACACATATATAGTTGTATGTAAGGGTTTGTGTATACTAACGTTTTCCCGCCTGTATATATTAATTATAAAATGATTTATAATTAAAATTTTGTAATTAGGTAGAAAATTTTAAATGCTCTAAAAATGATTTGTACATACTACTCTCGTGAGATAAGTAGCTAGCCTTGAACATGAGCTTTTATTAGTTTTCTAATATAAAATTACCAATATTCATTATGATCCCGAGGACTGTTGAACTTACTATGTCTGACGTAGATGTTCAAGGAGGCAATCTTATTTCACAGAGGACCTGAATACTTATATCGCCTAAATTGTAATGTTAAAATCTTTTAGAACAAATACATGTTTTACAACTATATATTATTTTTATTTATTCAACCTCTTTCTAAATCTCCTTCTGGATAGGGCCATATTGTAAAAGGCATTTTCGAAAGAAGATTAGCCGCTCGTACGGTTAAGGCGCTACATCCCTTAAAAGGTCATTCCCAGATTAGTTTTTTTTGCGTTTTAAAAATGAACTTTTCATTCAAAAAGGTCATTTTTAAAACGCGCTACATCCCTTAAAAGGTCATTTTTAAAACGTTGTATTTCTAAAACGAAATATATTTAATAAATATTTTGCGTTTTTTTTTCAAAATATTTGTTAAATATATTTCGTTTTAGAAATACAACGTTTTAAAAATGACCTTTTAAGGGATGTAGCGCGTTTTAAAAATGACCTTTTTGAATGAAAAGTTCATTTTTAAAACGCAAAAAAAAAACTAATCTGGGAATGACCTTTTAAGGGATGTAGCGCCTTAACCGTACGAGCGGCTAATCTTCTTTCGAAAATGCCTTTTACAATATGGCCCTATCCAGAAGGAGATTTAGAAAGAGGTTGAATAAATAAAAATAATATATAGTTGTAAAACATGTATTTGTTCTAAAAGATTTTAACATTACAATTTAGGCGATATAAGTATTCAGGTCCTCTGTGAAATAAGATTGCCTCCTTGAACATCTACGTCAGACATAGTAAGTTCAACAGTCCTCGGGATCATAATGAATATTGGTAATTTTATATTAGAAAACTAATAAAAGCTCATGTTCAAGGCTAGCTACTTATCTCACGAGAGTAGTATGTACAAATCATTTTTAGAGCATTTAAAATTTTCTACCTAATTACAAAATTTTAATTATAAATCATTTTATAATTAATATATACAGGCGGGAAAACGTTAGTATACACAAACCCTTACATACAACTATATATGTGTATAGAATTGTCAATACAGTTGATAAAATATTATAGGTAGGTAACAGTGGTGTTAAGCTCTCCCCTCTGGTTGTTGGCGATACGAAAAGTCATTTGAGGTAGTTGCGGTACAGAATCTGCGAGTAAGCGGTCTCCCGCTTTTGCTCCATAAGGAACATCATATCGCGATGGTTGATTTGCTTTGGTCGCGTCCTGAACGCCAGGTGACTGCGACCAGTCTAAAGGAATTAAGAGAACTTGGTCAGATTTATTACAAAGTTTAATTTAACCGTAATTTTTTACATTGTATTACAGTAAAAACAACACTAAAGATGCGTTTATATGTTGGTGTTACGAGGTACATCTAACCTGGATAAGAGTATGTATTGCCCTAAAATGATATTAAACTGAAATATGAGCTGAAGAGTGATTCATTGACTATGAAACATTAATCTTTAGACAATACTTTGTGATCATTATTTTTATATTATTCCAGATGTAATACTTACAAAATCACCGTCCGAGTGGCCGCCACCATTGGAGACAGTGGCACCAGCAGCACCGAGACCTTCTAGACAAGGCTTTTTTCGCGGTCCTATGGCCTGCAGCGCCACGAGATTCATTTGGTGTTGTTTCATCTCCTCCAACTCGGCGCGCTGCATTTCTTTAACCTACAGCAAGATAATATGTGAATTAAAAATATATAATAACATTATTGAATATTTATATCAAATCATGTACATAAAATTTGACACACAGGTAGTGTTATATTCTAACTTGGCGCATAGGATAATTTACAAATTGATGCACGCAGACATAGCCGCGGGAAACAACCAGTAATAAATAAAAACATTAGTTCAAATTAGATGTTGTAACTCTATTTACCTTCGCCTTAAGCTTGGCTCGCTCGGAATTCTCGTTCTTGGAACGGGACTTGGCCATCCGTAGCAACATCTGCCTCTGCGAGTCCTCGCGCCGCTTGTTGTCCACGCGATCCAACTCTTCGATGAATTTGAGTTGCCCCTTCACATCATGTGTTACCTCATAACACGAGTTAGTCTGCAACAATCATTTATACTCATATCATGTAACATTGAAACCAGGGCGTGCTTTATTAGTCAATGAACGTTGAAGATGACGTCTTACCTTTAAGGTGAGGTTTGTCGGACGCTGCGCTATGCGGACCAGCTCCTCGACGAGGTTCTTAATTCGTTCATGGACGGCGTGGCTGACGAGGTTCGCCACTTCCGCGGACGGTTCTGCGAGACTATGTCGCGCCGCCGCCGCCTTCACACGCGCTTGCATCAGGCTCATCGGGACCAAGCACTCGTCTTTACATGACCTGTTCAATATGATACAGTAATATATACCACAGGAGAAATTACTCTGTACCGCCTTTGAGAAGACAATAAAGATTTTTCATTTATTCATTCAAACTTAGCTGAACTTCTATTATAGCTATTACTAGACAACTGAAGAAAATTATCTGCTTTTCTGTAAATATATACATATTTATCTGATCAGTGCTTACCTAATTTGTGAACAAATGTGCTCAGTGGATCCCAACATTTGTTGAGTTTCATACGCCAAATTGACTTCTCCCATGGCGGCGACATCGTTGATATCATCATCGGTGCTCTTTTTGTCGACATCGACAAATGGCAGTGATGCGACCTGCATTGAGGACTTCTTCTCTTTCTCTTTTAATAGGGATTTGCGTCGCGGCTTGAGGACGGTAGCGAGCGCTGCTAGGGTCGCTTCTCTATTCACCGTCATTGGTTTTTTGCCGCTATTTTTGCTCAAATCCACCTTAAGGTAGAAAGGCACATTTTCCAGCACCGTTATACGGCTGCCCGAATTCGGTTTCTGCTGTTGGAACATAATTGATTTATTGTAGAAATGTTATTATTATAAGTTTTGATCTTGTTTGATAAACAACAGTAACAATAAAAGAACATTTACCTTGGGAGCTTGCATTGTTGAAAAAATATTCGCAGTAATAGTAGTATACTAGCAGCAGCTTAAAATACGAAAACAATATAGTGGTATATACAGAAGGAATACAAAAAAAAACTTTAACTTAAGCGAAAACTGCGACGGAGAGCTAAACACACAACCGATCACTACGAGAACTCTCGCGCAAATTCCGGACTGCCGGGGGTGGCGTGTATTTATAGCTGGCGCAGGGCGCGTACGATGTAACAGCTCTAAACGCGTATTGGCGCGTGGGATGCGGGGTGCGGGGGACGCGAAAACAGTACACGTAGGCTTTTAGCCAGTAAATTTTATCAATTCGTGGCAAATATGCTTAGAATAGAATAGAGTTTTATTCCTATCTGTGTACATATAGCAGTAAACATTGCTTTGGACTTGACATTAGTATCAACAGTTATACTCTATTGGTCATGTGACAATTTAAAAACAGGTAATTAGCTAGCAATTACGTAAATAGCAAAACATTGAAATTTTAATGTTAATAACATTACATAATTGAAAGTATATATGAATCATTTGGTAATACAATAAATAAAATAAAGAATAATCAAAATCAAATTACAAGTCAAACATAAAATTATATAAATGCAAGGCAAGTAGACATAATTTCGCTTACATTATTATTAAATTAATCAATAATAATATTAAATATTAATAATAATAAATATTATTAAATTATTAAGTTTTTGCATCAAAATAATCATTTAGAATATGAAAAACATTATCAAGAAGCTAGGCTTTGAGTTTGATTTTAAACAACTATTCGCATGAATGAACTTTGATAGATTTTTCAAAGTTAATGATGGCAACCAACCTAAGTATCACCGCGTAGGTATGAAAAGACTAACAGCAATATAGTGAAAGTCGAGAAAAATGGAGAATATTCTAACCTGGAGGCCAATTCTCATTTCTTTTGAGATAATCTCGAAATAGTGATTGTGATTCGAATCCTTTCTCTACTGTAAAATTTCGATATTCGAAGCCATTTCCTCGAATTATGTTATTAATTCTCGAGTATGGATAGAAAGGTAGAAGAAAAAGTATATATATATATATATATATATAATTTTTTAAATACAGCCAATGTTAATGATAATGTAGCTTATATATGTGAAAGAATTTATTTTACAATCGATTAAATATTTCTTGAGTTTATCCATTACAAACAAAAATTATTTTCTCTTCATTGCAATATTATTTAACCTACTTGGGTAAATTAAAAGAATTCGTCGCCCCTTTTAATGTTCATACTTTATTGTAAATGATAATAAGCATTTATAAGTGACAATCATCGGCAACTAACTTGAGTTTGCATAAAAAAACAAACAATAATTATGATATTTCTCGTGGTTCGAATCGACATTATTCGTCTCGAATGCTCACGACCACTCGAAGCATCTCGATCGGCCTTCCCTCGAGAAATCTCGGAATCGGCATACCTAGTACAAGGTAACTTGATTTTTTTGATTTTGCTCGAGAAATGTTCGAATTTGAACTTTTTCTCGATTTCGTGATTCATTCGAGTTCACGAGAATTGGCCTCCTGGAGACAAACTACAAAAAATATACTTGAATGAACGATTAACTAAGGAAAACCGACTGTTATTTCGTGAACCTCATAGCCCTGCCAAAGAAACTGGTCACAAATATTGTTAGATCAATAATGGATTTATTTTTGTACACAAGAGAGAAGGTTCTCCTGCCATCCAGATCCGATCTCGTGCTGAACTCGTGGAGAAACTTGGTTCATCTATGGATAGTGTTGTTTCGGTTACCTCCATTTCGGTATAGCTCAGGCTACTGTACTGACGACAGTTTGACAGATTTTGGTTTATTAAGTGGTTATGTACATCTGTCAATGTATAATTTTTTATGGGATTACCGCATGAGGTGGTGCTGCAAAAACGGACATGCTCCGTCTTGAGCGTGCTCAAAGATCTGTTCTGAAGGTAATGCTTAGGGAAAAAATTCAATATCCCACACGTTCTTTATATTCTGAGGCAAAAGTACTCACAGTTCGATAGTTATTTATTCTAAAAGCAGTCACTTTATATCACAAAACACTTGATCACTCTTCCTTGTTACATTTCAGGAGGTTCAAGCTAAACATTCCGA